GGGGGGGACCAGGTTTGCTGTTCGATAGAGCCTGGTGGAACCACTGAGACTATACCCCTAGCTGCCCTTCAGGTCTGGAATTGAACCCATACCTGTGGTTTCCAGTCAAACAGAAGACAGGCCTATGAGTTGAACATTTACCTGAGGTAGATACACTCCTTGGAGAGAACAATCATTGAGAAAGAAGGGCTGCCTATACAGAGAGATAGCTCAGGGGGCAGGAGTCCATGGAGGGATGGACACTGGGAAGAGGTGACTATGGGGAGGAAGTGGGAGGGGAGCTGTTGCATTATGGTAAACTGTGATCAATGTCATTAGACAAAGTGTATGGAAAGTGAATTTGCTCTGTAAATCTTCACCCAAATCACAATTAAAAAAAAAAAAAAAAAGTCACTTTTCTTTTTTTATGTAAAATAGTATCTAGGATCCATATAATTTTTGAATCACCGTTACATGACAAGCTGAAGGCAGGTTTTTATTTGTCTTCAAAAAAAGAGATAAACAAAGTGCCAGTAGTTTTACCATTTTATCCCCACTATAATATTTTAAGTATAATTTTGCAAACATCCCTTGCAAACATGCAATACAGTCTAAGCCTACACACAATATTTACTTTACACATCTACAGGGTATAAATGAATTCAGGGTTAAGTTCTACCCCTCATTTATGAGTTAACATCCTCACCACTACCAAAAAAACTTAACACATGTCTAAAGAAAAAAAACAAAATTAGAGCTTACCTCACAGAACCTTCTGGGACATTTGGCACATACAGAGTAACAGGAAAGGGGTATTGACTGGAAGATTTCATAGTTGCCATTGCCCGTAAAGCCTCCACTTCATTACGTGGGGAAGAAACCTTCATACAGCCTAAGTAGGTCAGTTTGTTAAATAAAACACTATCTTCTTCAGTTAGTTCGCCTGGAGAAGATGGCCTGGGTGTAGAAATTTCTGAAGAAAAAAAAAAAAAAAAACCTTCAAAAGTCAGTGCAAGACTCCACAGTGCAATTATTTCCTACTGCCCTAAAAGAAATGAAAATTTTCAAACAAAATGTAGTAGCATAGAAGATTTAAATGTGTTTGAAATGACATTGTTCCACAGAAATACAGGGATTCCGCCAAAGTGCTTCAATGGAGATAACGGGCCTACACCTTGATCCATGTCCATTTCAAGCAGATGTCTTGCAATTGTGATTTTGAGGGTGGAGGAGTTTCAAGGTTGCTACTGGTGATTATAGTGATAAACATTTTATTAGGCACTAACTTTGAGACAGGTATTCTACATAACATTTTACATGGATTAAGGAGCTCTGGTGGCACAGTGCCTAAGGTATTTGACTGCGAACCAGGGGGCTGCTAGTTTAAATCCACCAGCCACTCCGCAGAAAGAAGATAGGGCAATCAACTTCCATAAAGATTTACAGCGTCAGAAACCCAGTGGGGGTTGCTATGAGTCAGAATAGAAATGGAATTGGCAATGAGTTTTTTTTTTTTTTTTTGGCTTTACATGGATTGTCATTTAATCTTCCCCAACATCCCTAAAAGTAGGTTCTAGTTCTATCTCTATTTTACAAATAAGGAAATTGAGCCTTATGGAGACTAAGTAACTTACCCAAGGTCATATAGCCAAAGAGGCAAGGCTAGGGTGTTCAAACACACATGCTATCTGAATGCCAGGTATCATGCCTTAATCTCTATGGTAGATCTAAAATGGATGAATTATTAGCCAAGTGTCATTTTTATTCTGGTCTTTATAATAGAGTATCAGCTCTTTAAGGAAGGAACTGTTCTATCTTCTTTATGTGCCTAGCACTTACTACAGTGTCTGGCACTGGTGCGGCAATGGTTAAGTAGTTGGCTACTAACTGAAAGGTTGCAGTTCGAACCCACTCAGCAGCTCCACAAGAGAAAGATGTGGTGATCTGCTCTTGTAAAGATTATAGCCTAGAAAGCTCTGTGGGGCAGCTCTACTCCGTCCCATGGAGTGACTATAAGTCAGAAACAACTAGATGGCACACCATAACACCAACAAAAGATTAGATAATATCAATCACTAAACAAATGAATTTTTTGTAGGGCTAGTGGTCCTTTTTCATGAACCTGTGATGGTAAACATACCTCATCCTTGTCACCATCAATACCCTATTCCAGCCACAACTAAACGTATCATAATTGCAGCCTTAACATAGACAAAACTCATTGGAAACTATCCCATTATGAGTAATAAAAATCTTAAGTTAAGCAGAAAAACAGCAAAAATATTTTTTAGCAAAGCCATACTTTTAGATCTGATAAAATCACACACCAAAATAAAAGATTCTATTACATCTACACAATTATAAACTCAGTCCAACTAAAGTCACACTTTTAAAATTCTCCCCCACTTTACTCTGCAGAAAGATGAAGAATAAGAAAGGCCATAAGAGTCATCTTTGCATATAGTTAGTATCTTAGCACACAGCAGTCAACCAGCAAAGATGTAAACTAGAGTTGAATCCAAATACTCAGGATATAAGTACAAAATTTCCATAATGACAAAAATCAACAAGTTACCATATTGCTTAAGCAAAAGTTCTCATCTAGTTTTATAACTGGAAAACAATATATATTTTATTTTCAGTTTAAACCACTTTATCTACATAGTTTATAGGCAGTTCCTTGTGACTGAAGTTTATCTGATTATTTAAACCAACCACAATTCTGTGTAAAAACAAGGTTGGGTGGAACTATAAAAAGGCAGCTAAAATGTCTTACTGAAAATAAACACTAAAAATATGTAACAAGAAACGATACTAAAAACTTACTTATACAGTCAAAGCAATTAGACTACGAGAAAAAGGTACTTAAACCAGGAAGGGAGAAGTAAAACTATCCCTTTCACAGATAATATGACTCTATACATAGAAAACCCCAAATGATCCACAAGGAAGTTAACAGAAATAATAAATGAATTCAGTAAGTGACAAGATATAAGGTCAACACACAAAAATCAGTCAGATTTTAATACATCATCAACAAGCAAGCAGAGAAGGAAATTAAGGAAATAATACAACAGTATTTGCAATAGAATCTAAAAGAACACAATACCTAAGAATAACCTTAACCAGGAAGGTGAAAGACGTATACACTGAAAACTGCAAAGCATTGCTAAAAGAAATTTTAAAAGACTTAAATAGATCAATTTTTAAAAAGACCTAAAGAAACAGAAGGACATTCCATATTTGTAGGATGGAAGGTTTAATATATACTTAAGATCTCAATACTACCCAAAGCAATCAATAAATTCAATGCAATCCCCAACAAACTCCCAAAAGTAACAGAAGAGCCAATTCTCAATTTTATCTGGAAAGAACAAGGAAATGTGAGTATCTAAAGCAATCATGAAAAAGAAAAGAGGGCTCATACTTCCTGACTTCAAAGCATGTATTAAGCCAAAGTAATTAAAACAATCTGGTATTGTACAAAAATAGACACAGAGAATCATGGAAGTCCAGAAATAAATCCATACATCTGTAATCAAATGATTTTCCACAAAGGTGCTAAGTCCATTCAATGGGGAAGGAAGAGCCTCCACAATAAACAGCGCTGGGAAAGGGTCTACACATATAAGAATAAATCGGGATCCATGCCTCACACCATACACAAAAACAAATTCAAAACGGATTAAGGACCTAAATGTGGTAAGAAAAATCGCAAAAGTATTTGAATAAAATAAAGGGGTGTAGCTGCAGGGCCTAGTTTTTAACAATGGTCTATCAGATCCGACAATAAAAGCATAAGCAACAAAAGACAAAATAGATAACTGGGACTTCACAAAACGTCAATATTTTTGAGAAAACAACAAATGCTGGCATTGGTGTGGGGAGACTGATATCATACATGGCTGGTGGGATTATAAAATGGTACAACTATTGTAGGAAAACGCATGGCACTTCCTTAAAGTTAGAAATAGAGAAAACATATAATTCAGTAATCTCACTACTAGGTATATATCCTAAAGAAATCAGAGCCATGACACGAATAGATATATGCACACTCACATTGATCGTAGCACTATTCACAATAGCAAAAAGATGGAAACAACCTAAGTGCCCATCAATGGATGAATGGATAAACTATGGTATATACACACAATGAAATACTACACAATGTTAAAGAATAACAATGAATCTGTGAAACATCTCACAACATGGATGAATCTGAAGGATATTATGCTGAGTGAAAGAAGTCAATCACAAAAGGACATTTGCATGAGACAGCTATTATAAAAAGTCAAAAAAGAATTTAGACACAAAAAGAAGTATTCTTTGATGGTTATCAGGGATGAGAGGGGAAGAGAGGAAAAATCACTAACTAAATGGTAGATATGTATTAACTTGAGTGAAGGGAAATGCAATACACAATAAGAGGGAGGTCAGTACAACATGACCAAGGCAAAAGAAGACACTGGGAAGTAGGAAAGACTAAAAGGCAACAACAATAAATACTTTTACATATATAATCTGACAATAACAGTAATAACAAACAATAATTTATGAGTGGACACATAGGTAGATGCAAATTAAACAGGTATGGGATGGCTTTTGGGAGTACGCACACACATATACACAGGTCTGTTGTTGTTGTTATGTCCCGTCGAGTCAGTCCTGGCTCATAGCGACCGCACCTTGGGTTTCCAAGGCGGTATCACTATGGAAGGAGATTGCCAAACCTTCCTTCCGAGGAATGGCTGGTGGGTTTGGACCACCAGCCTTCTAGTTAGCAGCCAAATGCCTTAGGTACTATGCTACCAGAACTCCTACACACAGGTTTAGTAGAGAGTATTTCTACATACATATTTGTAATGTGCTGCAAATATATCCAGGTATATAGTGAAGCAGACAAGGACAAAATTATGAAAACTTCTTAGCCATAACCAAACACATTGAGACTGAGTTACCAGGCTAGAGGACTTAGGATCAAAATCTCAGGGGATAGCTAGGTTAATTGGCATAACATAGTCCACAGACAATGTTCTACAACTTACTTTGGTGAGTAGCAACTAGGGTCTTAAAAGCTTGCAAGTGGCCATCTAACTATTGGTCTCTTCCTGTCTGGAGCAAAGAAGAGTAAAGATAATCAAATCCTCAAGGCCATAATTATATGCAAAGGAAATAATTAGTTGACTAATGGACCACATGAACCACAGCCTCCACTAGCCTGAGTCAGAATTAGATGGTCCATGGCTACTACTACTGACCGCTCTGAGTGAGATCATAATAGAAGGTCCTGGACAGAGTGGGAGAAAAATGTAGAACATAATTCAAAATTGTAAAAAGACCAGACTTACTGGTCTGATAGAAACTAGCGGAAACCCAAGACTAATGTCACATACAATTAATGTCATGAAACAAAATGTGTCTAAATGGTGGAATGGAAACTAAATTTGATCTGTAAACATTCACCCACACCACAACAAAATGCTCAAAAAAAATTCAGTATTTTTTTCATGAAAGGACTTTATCAAAAAAGTGAAAAGACAGCCTATAGATTGGGAAAAAACTGTCAGGAACCATGTATAAGGGTCTAATATCCAAAACAGCTATTTCCACAACTTAATAACAAAACAACATTTGCACTGGGCAAATCTGCTGCAAAAGACCTCTCTGAAGTGTTGAAAAGTGAAGATGTCACTTTGAAGACTAAAGTGTGCTTAACACAAGCCATGTTATTTTCAATAGCCCAGTATGTATGTGAAAGCTGGACAATGAATAAGGAAGACCAAAGAAGAAGAGTTGATGCCTTTGAACTGTGGTGCTGGCAAAAAATACTGAAAATACCATGGACTGTTAGAAGTATGAACAAATCTATCCTGGAAGAAGTGCACCTGGAAAGCTCCTTAGAAGCAAAAACAGCCAAACTTCATCTCAGCTACTTTGGTCATGCTGTCAGGGCCATTCCCTGGAGAAGGATATTGTGCTTGGTAAAGTAGAACATAGATGAAAAAGGGGCAGACCCTCAACAAGATGGCCACAGGAGCTGCAATGATGGGCTCAAGGACACAAGGATTGTGAGGTTGACACAGGCCTGGACAGTGTTTCATTCTATGTACATGTCATAGCTATCAGTCAGAGATAATTGGACTGCACCTAACAACATTTCAAAAATGAATCCTAAGTGCCCTAATCCAATCAAGATAAACCCATTCCCTTTGTTGAAGTGGCTTACTGAGAAGTATGAATGTGATATAGGCTGAGGCCTATCAGTTCATGTCATTTTTCAGGCCACTGGAAATAGTTCACTTGATCCAATCAGAGTAAGATACAGAACTTTATAGTTCAATGAGTAGAACAGACCCTCCCCTCATTGCTACCAGGCATAAACAAATCACCTTGCCTTGCCTACCAATTTCTGCTCATGTCCACCTTATAACCTTGAAGGAAGCCAAGTGAGGATAAAGCAAACAAGGAAAAGACCAGAGCCGAGTAGTTTATAAAGAGATATAACTGAGCCCAGATCAAACCACACCTCTAATGTTTAAACCAACTGAAGTTGGAGTTGGGCTTGGTTTTGTTTGTTTTTCTTAAAAACAAAGGCATCTTGACTTACAAGCTTGTATTACTGGTATAAACCTGGCTTCTTTGTGAATTTACTTATTATTAAAACACTGTTGGAGATGATCTGGTGGTGTAGTGCCTAAAGCATGTGACTGCTAACCAGAAGGCTAGCAGGTCAAACCCACCAGCCACTCCTCGGAAGGAAGGTTGGGTAATCTACTTCCATAATGATAGTGCCTCAGAAATCCAAGAAGGGATCGCTATGAGTCAGGTCCAACTTGAAAGCAGTACATTGTTCTTTGCATCGTTGGAGTTAACATGCTATTTTACTAGAATTTGCACCCATTATAACTTGAAATAAGTGTAATCTAAATGAGTACAAAGGCACTTTATGAAAGACTACGTCTATTTCACTATTCTCTTGTTGTTGTTTACCATTGAGCCAGCCCTCACTATTCTCTGATGACCGAGAATTCATTAATTTCTTTAGTAAGTATTCCCTGCGGACCTACTATGTACCAAATACTGTGGGTAAAATTAGACCATTCTCAAAGAACATTGAGAATAATTTTACAGGCAGAAATATAAGAAAGAAAGAGAAAATTCTCAACCAGAACTGGAAGGCTAGTGGTCTCGATCTTAGAAAACAAGGCCAATAGGATTTTCTCATTTTCATCTTACAATTTTCTTTATCATTTTATCCCATTTCTCTTGTGGTTTCTAGAAGTTCAATATATTACCTGTATTAGATGGATCCAAAATTAATTGAAGAGATGGCTTATTTGTTTGGCTGGCTGAAACATCTCCAAATGAATGGTGTAAAATCCCACTGGAATTCTGATAGCCAACAAGAAGACTGCTTTGCCCTTTTTCAGAATCTCTCAAAATCTCTTCCATGGCTTTCTCCAATTGCTCATCACCATTAGAAACTATCTACAGGTAAAGCAAGACAATTCTGTTTCAATTCTACAATGACTCTGGAGCTTAATTTTATGAAAATATTTCATTTCCACAAGAATTCTTAAATAATCTAAATGTTTAAACTTAAATATAGTTACTGAACACTGAAAATTTACAGAGTTGCAATTATTGTCACATAGGTATAATACATTAAGAAGCCCTGGTGGTACAGTGATTAAAGCACTCAACTGCTAAACTGAAAGGCTGGCAGTTCAAATCCACTAGCTGCCCCGTGGGAGAAAGATGTAGCAGGCTGCTCCCACACAGATTACAGACTTAGAAACCCTATGGAGCAGTTCTACTCTGTCCTGTAGGGTCGCTATGAGTCAAAATCAACTCAATAGCAGTAAGAATTATATTAAAATCCTGAATTACAAAACCAACTAAACTAGAAGAGGATTATTAGTTTTGCAACTAATAGTTTCCAACTACATCTGAACTAAGATCTTATTTACAAAGATTTCTTTCTATATTTTTTCTTTTTCACTTCTAGGAGCATATTCTAAAAATCAGATACCTTTAAATTATTGTCCCTTCAAGTAAAAGAAACTTTCAAAACACAGTGCCTATTCTGAATATCATTTGAAAGGTCATATTTCTTGTTATAATAGCATAAAGATATTTCCGATTTCTTCAAAATTACTTGAAGTAGCTACCAAGAGTAACATTGCTAATTTCTTTATATTCAAGTTGAGTCATCATTTTCTTAAAAAGCAGGTAGGGCATAAAGCCTAAGTAAATAAATCATATCTTAAATTAAACACAATGATTCTAAAATATACTTATCTAAAATAAAGCCAACAGTCATTTGAATAAAATTACAAAATTATATATTCTTGACATAATGTAGCATGAGTAATTATCTGATTTTTACAATATTTTTTAGTAGTTGATATATTACTATTCCTTTGATTTGGTAGTTAATATTAAATAAAAGTCAGATCATCTATAGCACTTTTGACTAAGTCTTCTATTCCTATTCTAAAACCAAACACCAAACTCACTGCCATCGAGTGGGTCCTGACTCATGGAGACTCTATAAGACAGGATAGAACTGTCCCACAGGGTTTCCAAGGCTGCAAATCTTTACAGAAGCAGATTGTCACATCTTTCTCCCATAGAGCAGCTGGTGAGTTCAAACCACCAACCTATGGTTAACAAATGAGCGCTTTAGCCACAGCAACACCAGGGCTCCATTCTTATTCTAGAGAGTGGTTATTCAATTGTCATGCATATATACCTGGGCTTTCTTAGTTCCTTTGCTTTGACTTAGGAAAGTTAAAAATGAAAAAGCAAAAGGATACCATATCCAAATAAAAACTCAACTGCTCAAAATATGACATATACTTTTAAAATATTCAGCCAAAACAACTGCTAAATCATACACAAGAATGTTACCAGCTGATTTAAAACTCAAAAACCACACAGAAAAAAAGTATCTGAAATGAAAGTGAAACTCAATTTATATACTTAACTTCTAAAATTGAAGCAAAATCATTAATCCTCTTCTAGGTTAATTGGTAAAACACATTTCCCCAAAAAACTCCAGACAAATTAAATGTACATAAGATTTAATCTTTGGGCCCTAGGGGATGGCCTCAGGGCCTCAGGCAGTCAGCTGCCACACCCAAGACTGTTGGTTCAAACCCACCAGCCGCTCCCCTATCTCTTTTAGGAGCTCTGGTAGCATAGTGCCTAAGGCATCTGACTGCTAACCAGAAGGCTGGCGGTTCAAACCCACCAGCCATTCGGAAGGAAGATGGGGCAATCTACTTCCGTAAGTGATACTGCCTCAGAAACCCAAGGAGGGGTGGCTATGAGTCGGGTACGACTGGATGGCACGTAACAACAACAACAAGTTTTAATCTTTAAATCTAATTTGCCAAATCGTTGTCCCTCTTTTCTTTCATTTCTATCCCTTCTTTCTAAAATTCCAAATTAAAAGGTAAATAACCAAAAGCAAAAAACTTAAAAAAACCCACAAACCAAATAATTAGCCTCTAGACAAAGCAACTATGTGATTCTATCTCAAGGCACATATTAGAGAAAAGCTTCGGAGTTTCACACATCTCCTAAGGTAAGTTCCATTAATGAGAAAGAGTTATTAAAAATAGTACCATTTGTGGAAAAGAAAAAAATACCTTCAGTTGAGGTTTTTCATCATCTTTTGTAGAAGTATCATCTGCATGCTGAGGAACCAAAACAAAGTCTTCACTGTTCAGTGTAGTCACAGAATCAGATGACCCACTAACCTTCTGTAAAGAAGCTCTGACCTCCATTTCAGTTCTGCAAACTTCTCTTTCCACATCCACTTGGTCAAAACTACAGAGATTTAAAATAAATAAACAAATACTGATTAAAAACATGAACCAATATGTACCTAATCAATCCTCAGCTTTGAAAAATGTGTCATATGAAAGGAATCCAACTCAAAACTAAGTGGCTACCTCTTGGACTGGATCACAACATGGAAATGTACTCTTTTCACCCTGAATTTCTAGACTAAAAGAACCATATTGATCCCTGAAAATAGCACAAACCCCGCCCATATCTCAACTAAAGAGATTCATTGCTGTTTACTTGACTATATTTCTTGTAGAAATACAGTTTTTGTCTTTTTTCAATACAGGAAATAATTAAGCATAGTGTTAGAAATACCTGCAAATTCACATACACATAAAAATACATTTATTGAAATTTCTTTATTAATTAAAGCAATGTTTTCAAAAGCTTATCTCCTTGAGATCAAGTACTATACCTTAAAATATTTTTTCTGGGTTACTGAAGTTGAGTGACACAGAATCCAACCCTTAGGTTGTATGTCTTTTCTAGAAATATTGCCACTTTTATCATTTTAAAAAAGCTTTCACATTGCATTCACATGTTTCAGCAATAAAACAGTATAATTCTACTTTCTGGAGAATTATCAGTTGCTCAAACAAGAAACCTGGATGTCATCCTTGATTCATCATTACTTCCTCACTCTGAATAACAAGTCATACCAGCCCCATATCTATCCATTTTTCTTCATCTCCGCTACTACCACCCCAGTTCAAGTCTCCAAACTCTTCTCCTATCCCCAGTGTATCTGCTTTCTGGATACACTAATACTGTCCATCATTTCCAGAAGCTCACATATTTACATGACTAATCTTAACTCAGCATACATATTTCAGAACAGGCACACACTTAGCTGTAAGGTTACATGGGTGACTAAAGTAGACAGTAGCCTGCTCTACCAGAACTTACAAACTAGTGTAACTGAAAACTAACCAAATGTCATCAAGTCGATTCCAGCTCACTGACACACACTCACACACACACACACACACACACACACCCTGGGTTACCAACGTTGTAAATCTCTATGGAGACAATGGAACAGCTGGTGGGTTTGAACTGCCAACCTTCTGGTTAGCAGCCAAATGCCTTACCCACTACACCACAAGAGCTCCTTATGCTCTAGTGTGAAAACAAGCAAATGAGCAAATAAAGTAATTTCAAATAGCTATAAATGCTACAGATAAAATAAAACAGTTTAATGTGATAAAGAACAGCTGTGGGAATGCATGGACAACTTTAAGTAAAATGGTATCGACTCTGAAAGAGAAATACTTGAGCTGCAACCTGAAAGACAGAAAGAGCCATATATTAAATAATCTCTTCACAAGCAAAAAGAATATGTGACATAGTCAAGGGACAAGGAGACTGAGGCTAAAGAATACAGGACCTTTGTAAGTGTACTACTGATGAATGCCTGAAAGACCCCCAGATATGTTCTCCTTTTCTTCTTCTAATTATGTGGTTTTCTTCTTTTGTTTTGTTTTTGTTTTCCTGTTGCCGCATATAAATTTGGCTGCAATATTACATTTTTTCACTAGGTGACACTAACACCACGTACTCATGACAGAAAAAGATTTACTTCCAGCTTCCAAATTATACTTCAAAAAAAATTATTTTCCATCTCTGAAAAAACAAAATTTGGAAAATAAAAAAACAAAAATAATAATACTCCTAAGTCAGTATAATTAGCTAGCCACCATTTATTTCTACTGGACATGGCCTTTCATTTTAAAGCCCTTCAAGCATTTTACACATTAAATATTTCTGAAGCTACAGTACGTGTTAAAAGTCACCCTTCCAGGCTGCACCATGAACCTTTGATTGATAAGACACCAAACATTACCAGTGTTCTTCCAATGTGCAGTCCTTCTCCAAGAGTTTCTCAGATTCCTACTCCTGCACTTCTAAATGTTGGAAATTCCCTAGAAATTCCTGAGCCCTAGAAATTTTCTGATCCTTTCCACACTTTCTCTCATTGCAATGGATTTAAATATCATTTATATACTGACATCATCCCCAATTTCTATCCCAACCTAAATTTCTTCTAAGTTCCTGATTGAAAATCCAACTCTACTTGATATTCCACTTAAAAGTCTTATCAGTATCTTAAACAAACCATAAGAATAGAATTCCTAAAGTCTCTAAATCTGTTCTCATCCAGATTTCCTGTTCCAGTAAACAGCTCCATTTTCTACCAAGTTACTCACACAAGAAACCTGGATATCATCCTTGATTCATCATTACCTCCTCACTCTGAATAGCAAGTCATACCTGCCCCATCTCCAAAATAAATCCCATATCTATCCATTTTTTTTCATCTCCGCTACTACCACTCAAGTTCAAGTCTCCAAACTCTTCTCCTATCTCCAGTCTTATCCCCTCCAATCTACTCTACATAGATAAATCTTTTGGAAAAGAAAATTAGATTCATTAAAATGTATACTAAAACTTATTCACTACAATTAAAATAAAGCCAAACAAGATCGTATACAATCTTGCCCCTGCTACTTTCTCCTTACAGTTTTAAGAAAATTTAACAATCCTGACAAGTATGCACCTAACAAAAGCTCAAAATATATGACAGAACTGAAAGGGCAAATAGACAGACACATCCACTATTATAACTGGAGATTTCAACATCTCTCTACCACATTGTTACGTTAAGGGAACAGAAAATCAATTGGGATATGGCACTATCAATCAACTTGATCTAACATTTGCTAAATAATTCATCTAATTATCAGCACGTTCTTCTCAAGCTTGCAAGAATACTCACCAAAGAATACCAATTCTAAGCCATAAAACACACTTTAACAAGACTAAAAGATTACAAATCATTCAAGTATATTCTCAAATCACAATAAAATTACACTTGAAATCTGTATCAGAAACATAGCTGGAAAATTCAAAATATTTGGAAATTAAACAACACGCTTCTAAGTAACCCATATTCAAAGAAGACAACTCAAAAGAAATTTGAAAATGCTTTGAGCTAAATGAAAATGAAAATATAACTTTTCAACTCCATACCCACAAATGTGATTACTTAGACTAAATGGATCAATTCTTCGAAAGGCACAAACTACCAAAATTCACTATAGGAAAAAATAGGTAACTTGAACAATCCTATATCTTTTGAATACATTTAAATAATAATTAATAACCTTCCAAAAAAGAAAGCATCAGGTCAAGATGATTTCTTGGTGAATTCTACCAAAAATTTAAGGAAGAAATAATATTAACTGTACACAATCTCATCCAGAAAATAGGTGAAGGAACATTTCTAAACTCATTCTATGAGGCCAGCATTACCCTAATAGCAAAACCAGATAACAACACTATAAGAAAACTACAGACTAACATCTCTCATTTGTATAGACTCAAAATCCTCAACAAAGTATTAGAAAATCAAATTCAACAACATATAAAAAGAGTTATACCAGAAACCCAAATAGAATTTATTCCACAAATACAAGA